TTAATATTCAAAATAAATTAATTGTTTTAAACATGTAAACGATGTTAATGGATAAACATGAAATATCTAAAATACTTTTATTCTTTCTCTACTTTTTCTCATCATTTTCTTTCTTTTAAGAGCTTGTTTGGTATAGTTTTTTTTAGTTTAAAAGTTATTATAAAATTTTTATAAAAAATAATAATTTTTAAAATTAAATTAAAATTATTTGATAAATTTTTTTTATAAGTTTTTTTTATAAATTATAATTTTAGTTAAAATTATCATCAAGGGTATTTTTTTTAAGAGAGTAATATTATAATTATTTTTAACAAATGAGGATATTTTTGAAACAAAAATAATTTTTTTTTTATATTTTTTATAAAAAAAAGAAAAAAAAAGCTCCTCATAGGAGCATTTCTATAAGCTTTTTTTAAAAAATTTTATTTTTTTAAAAAAAGTTACTTCAAAGCCTTTTAAAATTTATATTTGGTCTGACTTTTATTTTTAAGATATAGATAAGCTGAAAAAAAACTTAGTTAAACAAACACTAAGCCAGTCAGTAGGACTTCCTTACACCAGTCAACCACCCTGTTGTTGGATTTGGTCACTAGATTGTGCCCCTTCAACGATTCGATCTAGTTAGGGAACGTCCGATTGATGTTTGCCATGTTGTTTGCCGTTTTAGTTGCCATCACCATCCGCAGTGAAGAAAATTTAGTAAGAGACTGAGAGAGAATGCTTAGATAGAAATAGAAAGAAATTGTAAAAATGAAATATTATATTTTATGTAGTTGTAATTTTTTAAATTAACGAAGGAAAAAATTATTTTAAAAATATTATCATGTCATCAAACTAATGAATACATTGACAATTGATTAACGGTAAGATTTATGTATCCAGCAAAAGATAATCTTTTGGGACAGATTGTTCATTTTGAATACTAATTGACTCATGAAATTATGACTAAAACATAAAAGGATCAGAGTATTTTATCTTAAAAAAGAATAAAGAGGAACTGCTTTTTGATTTATTTGACAATAATATTATATGTACGTTAACATAATTAAAAAAAATAAATATAAAATAACATTAATTTGTCTAAGATATTTCAATGTTTTCAATTTAACGATTGCCATCTCTTTTGAAAACTTGGAAACATTTCATAAATGTTGGAATTAATTGATATGGGAATCCATCAAGAATTTCATCAACTTGTCAGGCTATATAGAGTGGTGAAGGTATATTGAACGGTATGGCTAAATATAAACTTTGGGGTGATGACTTTTTGTGCAACACCTCATAGCTTGTGTATGAGGGGTCTAACCTAGGTGTTTAAATTGGGATGATATTTCGTAAACACTTGAATTTATCTACTAGGCTACATGTACTATATATGGCTATTGATCATTTTTTGTACGCAATTATATATCATAGTAACACAAGATTAATGTTTTTTCAAAAAGAAAAAAAATGGGTAATCTAAGATTGAATTCACTTGACAAACATGATAGATATGGTGCAACTATCTCCATTAATGGAAGGAGTTGTGAACTTGTCAAGCAAGTTTTGTTGGAAGTCTTTCACACTGAGCTTGCCTGTGAAGCAACATGTTTGGGTCAAATTGTCCAAACTCACAACTATACACACATACAAATATTTCTTCTAACTCAATTCTGAAGCTAACAAGAAAAAGTCAAGGCACGCTTTTCTCTTCCTATGTTACCCTTTTCTTTTTCTCTCTTGCCCAATACCTAAACTTTATCCTTTTTCAAGTTTCAACGTCTCCATTTATAATGTTTGAAAAGGACATGATGATGAAGTGCAAAGAGTTAAGTCATTTTTATTTTTTTATTAAATTATTATGAAATTTAATTTTAAAAATGCACACGAGAACGTAATTTTAAGATTTTTCAAAAAAAAATAAAGTTTGTTCAAATTAGAAATTAAATAGTTATGTTCGTACTATAATTTTATTTTAAATTTAAAGGATTTAAATAATTAAAAGGGTAATTTTGTTATTTAAAAAAACATGAATGGACATTTTGATCATGTAATCTGGCATACGAATGTACGTATGACACACGTATCATGAGAACCATAACATGTTAAAATTTTAATATAAAGATGTAATCTAAAATTAGTACAATTTAACTTAAATACAGCATTCGAGTATTTAGTTTATTAATTGATGCTTGATAAAAAGAATTCAAATCCCTCTTTTCTTAATTGTGTATATATATCTAAAAATAACCTAACTTAAATACAAAACCACTAAAAAACTAAGACTTAATCATATGAGATAACATCACTCGATATTTTCTTTATTAAAAAAAAATTATACACTAATCAATAACTCAAATAGTCGAATGCGAAATATAATATCAATTGCTTTGAACTTGACTCTTACCGAATATAAACGGAGTTGACCTTTTATTCTTGTTAAAGCCCTAGGAAATTGAACTGGAAAAGACCTCAACATGCATGTTGTTGATTAAGTCAACTGTCAACCCAATGGTGCATTCCAGATGTCTGGGCACTAAAATAATGTGGTATTAGCAGAAAACACATGACGTTAAATCAATTTACTAATGTAATCTACTTGCCTATTATCATCTACTTTGCTTCACTTCAATTTCTCACAGTCACACATAATATATATCTATATTCTTTAGATATTATAATAAAAATAAAAATTCTTGACAAGAAACGCGTTTAGTTGTTTTATTCCACAACTCTTACTATAATTTAATTACCGTTTTAAAATTCTCAACAAACCCATCGCGGAGCTGTTCATGAATCGAATCCAATTATCCAATCCAATGGTAGTTGGTATCTCCACAATCAAGGTTTGACTTCAGTTTGATTTAGTCTTGTCTATTCAAATTTCAAGCATAATGCTCAAAAAAACCTTTAAATTATTTTTTTAAAAAAAATTCAAGTACACTCTTATTCTTCTATAGAATTTAATTGTACCCATTTATTTTTATCTTGAATCAAACAAACTCTTATAATTAATACTTTTGATTAATTGTAATTACTCAACTTGCTAATTAGTCAATTAGCATATCATGTCATCATCCATTATCATATATCAAAATATTTTATATTAATATATATTAGATTAAAAAATAAAAATTATTATTTAATAATGTAATAATTAGTATATCACATACCAAGTCCAATAAAAAAACTTGCAAAGCTAACACACTGTAAACAAGTTTAATTTATCTTAATATTTAAGCTGGAAACTCTCAACAGGATGACTTTTAAGTTAGGGTTTTGGAAACGTGTCAATATTGTAATGGGGTTTGATTAACTGTTATGATTACCTGCTCGAGGAAACATCCACTATACAGCTATGTATATTCATATGCGGGCAGGTTCTAGTGGGTGATCTTGTAGATGACGAGGGGCGCGCAAGAAAGGGAGCATGGCTGTATGAAAACAGTTGGACCAGTCATAAACATGTTTAGTACTTACAGTAGTTGCACTAATAATTAACAACAATAATGATAATAATTATGTGTTGTTTTATACTAATAAAAGCCCTTGAAAAGGGTTTTAAGCAGACAAAGTATTGCCTCCCTGGAAAACAAACAGACCACCAACAATGCCATTTTTGTTCATCTTGTGCAGCATTCTGCAGTCACATGGGCCAGCACAGGACCGCTGATGGGCTTAATTCATTTTCTTTGCAATTTTTGGATTTAAAAAAAAATGGAGATTTACATCCCTCCCTTTGCTTGAACCATGCATCCAATCACTGATGAATAACGAATTTAACCTATATATGTATTACACTAGTGAATTAAAGATTTTAAACCTTGTCAATTAGGACAGGTTGTCTCAACTGAGATGATGTTAGAGTCATACGTAGCCGCCGCAGCCTGTATTAATGTTATCCAGTAATATTTATTGATAAAAATATATATATGGTTGCAATAGCAAGTATATAGGTATATCCAAACCCTGAACAATGCAAAAATAGAATTAATAATAATAATAAAAAAAAGGGTTGGTGGGTTAAAGGGGTGCAGCTGCAATGGCCATGGTTGAGGAGTGAATTAGTGATAGGACCATATACACCTACTTGAGCAAGCTGTCATCTACCAATAAAAACCACCAAACTCCAAAAGAAAAGCACCGCTGCCTCCCCCTCCCCCTCCCCTTTTGCTTTAATGATTGCATGCTTCCATCAATCATCAGTCACGAGTTACTTTTGACGGCCAAAGGACGTCTAAGTTTGACTTGATGGTGGTCTTTTCAAAATCTTTACTTCCAATAACATCTAATTTCTCGTTTGCTATTGTGTTCAAGGTTAGAAACCCAAGACTAGGTTGCTTCTTGTTTTTAATATGCTTACAACACAACACTGTGCATGACTGCTTTTTAGCCCTTTCATACTACATTTTGTAAAGCATAAGCAGACAAGTACAGCTTGTTGTACCCGATCACAAAAAAAGAGTGACCAGTTGATTTCTCTTCTCAAAACATCACCACTTGTCCGCCATTATTATTGGAAATTAGAGGGCAGGCAGACTCTACAGCATATGGAAATTAATGGTACTTCAGATATCAGATCTTAATAATTCTCTTCTACATCTATAACTATACGCACATGGAAATAATGCTCACATCTTCATAACAAGTTCCAAGATTTTCCAGGATTCCAGTCAGATTATTAGCTGGCTTTGCTGTCTCTACACCTGGTTTGTTTTTAAACAAAAGAAACAAAATGTTTATAGCCATGCCCAGTACCTATGAATGATTGGTATCCAGCCCAGACTGGATACATATTTTTGTTTCTCATCCAAGCAAGCCCATTTCAGATATTTTACCACACAATGCATTTTAACACTGTTTGTTCCATTATTATTACTGTGGTTTTATGGCATTTTATCATAATAGTTAGTTACTGAACCAAAATCCACCCATATTTTCATACCACAAATGTACACTTCCTAAACCAAGTTCCATGAAAATTCAAGGGATTTCTTTCTTAAACTTAACTCCAAAAGTAGACAAAGACGGAACTGCCATCCAGCATGAATCGTATATATCACAATTTACACATGCACTTCCATCCATGTGGTTGATCAAGCAAACTATTGACAAGTAATAACATATAGGGAGCATTTCCAGTATCAGAAAAACATTCTAAGAAGAAGAAACTCGCTACGGATTATATAACCCAAAAGAAAAAAGAGGCAAAGATTACAAGGAGAGGGTATATAGGGGTTGATAATAATAATAGAGCCCGGTTTTTTAGATCATTTAACCCTGACAAGTCGTGAAGCTAAGAAGCTTCTTCCAAAGCACATCCGGATAGCTGATGGGAAACCCTCCTCTAAATCACATAACTACAAAAGCCATGCATGAAAGTTGAACTCACATTGAATCGTCAGAGTCATCAGAGTCACTTCCGTCGGCCTCCCCAGCATTGCCTCCTGTACCCGGAACCTCAGGCTTTGTAGCAGGTGCAGTTGAAACTTTCTTATTTGCATTATGTGCATCTTCATCAACAGCTTCCCCTTGCCCATTGCCTTCAGCATGTACATGATAATCAAGGTATAAACACAACCATGTCATCAAGACACAAAACATTCAATAAAGAATTCAGGTATATTTTAGATGTAAATCTTCTCCTTCAATCACACATCAACAAAATGATGTATTGTTCCATCACGTATAGTGTGGAAACTTTTTAATGAAGTGATTTAATTTTCTGTAATGACTGGATCAAGTAATATGATTTAATTTTCAGCCATGGAATGTTATTCCATCTGTGGCTATTTCATGACTTTGAAAAATGCAGCAGTTGCTCAAAGATAAAAACCGAAGAAACAATACTGAAATTAGATGTATATTGAGGATATCAAGACTTTCAACTGTTCCTCCAGACATGATGTTCACCAAATCCTTTTCAACACGTTGTACAAGCTCTGGCTGCAAAAAATAACATAACCAATCAGTAAAACTACTAAATGAAAAGAGCAGAAACCACCATGTCCGCATTAAAATTAAGTCACTCCCATACACAAAGATACAAGTGCTGAAAGCTTAGACATTTCTTAGCAAAAGTATGGTGGCCACATATAATAGACTTAAAAGCAGCTCCTTTTCCTTTTGACCGCTTCCCTTTGAGTATTACAGGTGAATCAGGTTAGTTACAGGGGATATATAGTAATACAAAATGTCTATTAGTTAAAGCTCCCACATGGTCAGAAAGTTTTCCTTCTCTTTTTCTTTGTTTTCTTATAGTTAGCATGCATAAACACATTTTGTGAAGTAGCGAGTTTATTGATACATTTAGATCTGGCTCCCTTCGAAATCTTCGCTTCCGCGCATCCCTCATCGGAGGAGTCAGACCATGTCTGTACTCCACCACATCTGGAGAAGCATCTCCCGGCTCTCTGACCATAATCATCTGTAACAATTGCAACAGTTAATATGACCATATTAGAAATAAAGGAACCATGTATAACCATATGAAAACAAAAAACAATAGCAAGTACCATACTTGGCCAACATCAGCTGTTTTAACTAGTGCACTATCATCATAAGTTTTGTATGACTCAACAACACAAGGAAGATCCGAGAGAGAGGCAGGGAAGCGATCATTGCCAATGACAAATGTCCCAGTCCGCCCATCCTCTGCAAAGCAAGGAGAAGCTTAACATGCACAAAAATCCCAAGACAATAGGCAAACAATATTGATGATGCATATAATAGATGCACAATCTTAACTTTCCTTTTGGAAATCACTCATTGCTTGTGTTTGATGACAAGCAGGACTGAGATTGTATTCAATATTTATATGCTGCTGCACAAAAAGTGCTAGCAACATTTAAAGAAGTGTCACTCTGGTTATCCCACACAAGGTAACTTAACAAATTCTGCACACTTCTAAAACACGAAACCATAAAAAGAGCTTCTCAATGAATTTTTAACAAACAAATCACCATTCTAAGAGTAAAATTAACCATCCCTGTTAGCAAACATTTTATGAGAAATTTGTTTTAATGCATATAATAGATGCACAATCTTAACTTTCCTTTGGGAAATCACACTCATCAATTTATGTTTGATGACAAGCAGGACTTGGATTGTATTCGATATTTATATGCTGCTGCACAAAAACTGCTGGTATCATTTAAGGATGTGTCACTGTGGTCAAATAATGGTCCCACGCAGGGTAACTTAACAAATTCTGCACACTTCTAAAACACAAAACCATAAAAAGAGCTTCTCAATGAATTTTTAACAAACAAATCACCATTCTAAGATTAAAATTAGTCATCCCTATTAACAAACATTTTATGAGAAATTTTTTTAAACTTAATAACTCCCATGTATTACTATCTCTGTTAATATACATAATTACACAACTGGGGCCTGCTGGAGGCTATTACACTCAAGCAATCAGATATCTATTGCCTGCTTGTTAAAATAATAAATGTTGGCCAACATAGTTTGGTCATTCATTTGTTTGTTTTAAATGTTTTCTTCCTCAGCAACAGCTCATCCCCAAATGACATGTTGATATGATAAAAGGTCATAACTCTCCTGGATTACAATAGTAGACAATTCACAGCTGAACAAATCAAAGCAAAGGTGTCACAAAAGACTATATTCACTACAATGCAACATTCTCGTCCAGCCGTTAGGCTGGATCCCATCTGTCAAGAATACAGTTGGCTAGAAGCTAGATAATATCCTGTCAAGTTTATAAGTCAATCAACTTGCTGGAGTCTTTAAGAGATCATAGAACAGAAAAATATATGGCAGCAGAATCCAAACTGTGAAGCAATTTAAGCTGTAAAATATATGAAATGCGTCAACTGTTTTTCTAGTTCCAAGAAAAAATAGCAATTTTACATAGCTGTCCATCCTCCTCAGACCACAAAGAGACTTAACTCGAAAAAGACTGTAAATAAAGACAGTTGGGTCTTTTACAGTTTGGTTAATACATAAATCAACAAGAAAGACTAAATAGAGATTATGGTACAGCATGAATAGAAGTTATCTTAACCACACAAATGTTTAGCTAAATTAAATTAAAGGTACCAAGAGTTTCTTAGCCACAAGTTTCCTATTTAACTGAGTATAAGTTCAAAAAGAACACAAAACGTTAACATATAAACACAATAGCAACAGTTAATGAGGCATTTGTATAATCAAGAGCAGTTCCTCACCAGAAAATACCAAATCTAGTGATTTGTCCTCAGAAGATGAAGCATTTTCACTTAAAAGGCGATCTATCCGCTCAGCAATAGAAGGTGGAACTCTAAGAATAAATTGCTCTTCCATGTCTGATAAATGAGATGAAAGATAGGGAAGAAGAAAGATTCAAGTTATTCCAAAGTCAACCACCAATCTTAAAACTAATGCAAAAGCTCAAAACACAAATTTCTATCATTTATATACCATTCAATCATGACAACTAAGATGAACCTATCAATCATGACAACTAAGATGAACCTAATGTCACAAGTTCAACATTAACACCAAATTTAAGATTAATACAGTTTAGGACAGTTAAGCATACCATTAATATCATTTACTAATCTATGAACAAGAACTATTTAGTTTTAGCTGAATAGAAATTCTATTTATTTTAAAACCCAAGAATTCACTATCATGTAGTAAAAATGAACCAAAAGTCATCCAGAATAAAGGCTCATAAACGCTGCAATACATCTAAAAAAGGCTACAATTAGCACAGAAACTAAAACGTTTTGAGTAGAATAATCTAGCAATGACGATCATGTACATTTAGAGTAAATAAAAAATAATAAAATAAATGAAAATCAATTAGCCCAAAGCTTTTATTTATCGTTTAAACAGCAAGAGCAGAGCAAGAACCCAATTGATTTGTACATTTAAAGGGCCTATTCCTTCTCTTTCTTAAATACAATTCCACAACCCCCGCCCACCCCCACCCCCACCCCCCCCCCCCCCCCGTCCCAAATGTTTGCTCAAAAGTCGTACACTGTCTAATTGGCATCCTTCTCCAACGAATAGGATCATCCATTTTAGCATTATATTTCAATGAAGGAACCCTAAATCACCAAAAAGAAACGGCTTTCCGCTCAACTTTCCACAATCACCTTCATAAAAAAAACAAGGCAATTTCAATGATGAAAGCATCCTTCAAAGCGACTCAGCAAAAAAAGCATGACAATTGACTAATTGATAGAGGCAATTGTTAACAGAACAATATGAACAACCACCTAAATATTAAATTTTAAACAGTTTACATGAAGAATAAGTGTATAAACAAGAACTTGACTGATAATTTATAAACATAAAAAATCAGAAACACCAAAGCAGAAAATAAGAAATACCCAATCGATCAGAGAAAACTAACCCAACCCTATAGGAGCCTTCTACTGGTAATTCTCACCACCTGTTCAGTGAGAGAGAGAGAGAGAGAGAATATTCAGCTTATATATAATTAATCTTATAAAAAAACACAAAAAGAAAAGAAAGCCTCCAAATTTAACAGGAAAGAGAGATACCCAGAAGCAAATCTCAAATTTCTCTGTGGAAAAGTCGAAAATATAAATTTAAAGAATAAGTTTTTTAATTGGAGATAGAGAAAGAGAATATGAATCTACATGTACCATGGCATTTATGGTTGTGGAAAGTGGAAAATGAAGAAAGAGGAGCGTGAGAAGGGGAATGGGTTGCCAACTCTTCTTTTCCTTTTGTTTTTCAATTTCAAATAAAAACATTGTTTTTAAAATGACTGATTTCCCCTTTTCCTTAAAAATTATAATGAAAAGAAATAATAAAATAAAAACGATATAATACTTATGTTTTTATTTTAAACTTAATATGCCTTATATCTAACAGTTAATTAATTATCATTAATTAAAATATTATTTATAATTTTTTATACCTATATGATGCTGAGGTGAATATAGCATGTGAACATGTCATCATGCCACATAGGCATGTCATATCATGTCCCTATGGATTATGACATGTTAACTTCAATTCTAAGTGACTTAAAATTAGACTTAGACAATTCATATCACAAATACAATACGATTAACTAATCATGTCAAATCTAAAACAAGTATATGAATATATTTTATTGTAACACAGCATGATTAATTTATTAATCGTATAGAATTATGTTTTATACGACACAACACGATTAAACGATTAACATAATTTTTTTAACACGTTTAACATGGTTAATACATGATTAAATTTGTCATTATTCAAAAGTACAAATGCAATTCAGAAACCCAATGGTTATGCCAAAAGGAAAACTCAAAAAAATTCCAAAAAAGATTAAACCCATATCCTCAAGATATATCTGACAATGGAATGCCATTTGAAATTTGTCACAATTAACTCTAAAAGTAGAGCTTAAGTAAGCCTTAAAACTCAAAAATAGCTAAAACAAAAAAAAAGAGAAGAAGAGAGAGAGCTTTTGAGAAATAGAATGTTTTGTATTTCTTTAAGATATGTTAAAAATGAAGGGAACAGGGATATTTATAGGCTGATAGCCTCCCTTGTCAGATAAGATTAGGTTACAAGATGGGGATAATGATAAGAGATTTAATTTGAAGAAAATTTTTAAATTAAATCCAATTCATAATCTTAATTTAATCTAATTTAAATTTAGATATACATAATCAAATCTAAAAATTCAAATCAAATTACAACGTGATTGTTTGGCTTGTCTAGGCTACCTAACCTACATGGGCTACTATTTGCTAGGTTTCTTTGCCTACCTAGCTTGCTTGCACTATTGTTTGTTGGGTTTCTTGATTGCCTAGGCTGCTTAGGTTGTTATTTGTGAACCCCTACCATAATGTGGGATTGCTAAGTTAAAAATCTTTTGATGAGCAAGTTAAATTTGTGTTTAAAACACTTAAAACTTAGTTTTATACTTAAAAAACCTCATGTTTAAATATTTTGAAATGATATGCAAGGTTTTTGGTTTGAAATGGTTCAATTAGACAAAGTTTTGACTTGATTTTTAACTATTAAAGCTTATCTATCGATAGATGTTCTTCATTGAACCCAAAAATAATTTTTTATGTATATCTATCAATAAATGTTCATCATCTATTAATAGGCGAGCCTATCTATCGATTGATACGCGACATTTATCGATAAATAAATACCCAAGAGATTTTTAAAATGATTTTGGTGTTCATCTATCGATAGATACCCCCGATCTATCGATAGATGCTCTTGATCTTTCGATAGATGATGTTGTTTTTTTTTTAAAAAGGGGTAATAATGTCTTTTCATGAGCCATACTATAAATATATCACATTTATCGAGGTTTTTCAACCCCCAATCACATTTTTACAAGGTAGGCATCTTTCAAAACCCTTTTGTTGATCCCAAAAAGAATGCTAGAAAGGGTGAGTAACACTTAAAAATATTTTTGAGAGTAGCTCTTAAAATTTAAAATTTGTTTGGAAGATTTAAGATGAATGGTTGAGAACTTGTGAACACTAATGAAACCAAGTAAAAAAAGGTTAAGAGAAGTGGACAAAATATAATATTTATAGTGGTTTAGTCTACTTGACCTACATCCCGTTCCTTGATTTTCTTAATCAAGGATTTTCAACCCATTTTCACTAAAACCAGTGAAATTAATAGCTTTTAGCAAGCTTTTACAAGGTAAGCTTCCAACCCAAGCTCAGAACTCTATTACAACAAGTACTAAGCTTACCTTAGCTTAAACTATCCCTTAGAATGTCTCGCACACTCTAAGTAAACAAGAAATAGAAGATAAAATGAGGTACAAATGATCATCTAACTGATCTAAGTTGTACAAGCTTCAGGATAAATATTTTCACAAAGACAGAAGTGGAATACAAATGTAAAGAGAAGGTTTTTGGTCTACTAAGCTCAAAATTACTTTTGGTAGCTTCTCTATGTGATTTTTGACTGTTAAAAGGCTTTAAATACTTAAGAGACTGATTCTAGCTGTTAGAGCTAGTTTCTAGCCATTACTAGCCATTATTTTGTCTTCTAGCTGCACTTTTGAAATAGGCACATAGTGTTCCGTTAACTGGTTACAAGCAACTTTAACTGATTAAAGCTTCTTTGCTTTCACTATCTTGTAACTATGTATATTGTGTTAATCGATTAGAGGAAACTCTATCTAATTACAAACTTTCTGTTTTCATTTTCCTGTACACAATGGTTTTCTTTTAATTGGTTAACTCTTCCCTTAACTAGCTAAGGCTCCACTTTCTTTAACCTTAACAGATTAAAATCAGCTTTAATCAATTAGAAAGTCTTTGAATTTTGAACTTCTCCATTTTGACTCCTTTCAACAAGCAACCTTCTTTCAACTTTGATTTTGGCACTTCAAGATACTAAATTCTAGTGCTTTAATTGATTATCCCAATTCCTTAACCAATTAACATGCCTTTGTTTTTAACTTCCAACACTTGTTTAATCAGTTAAAGCTTATGCTAACTGATTAAGGCTTTATTGTCTTGTTTTGGTATAGAGGCCAGTTTTGCCTTAACTGATTAAGGCTCTATGTTAATCAGTTAACAACATGTGGTCTTCACTAAGTCTTTTCTTCTTTGCTTCTTTAACTCATTAACTCATCTTGTCACTAAGCAAACTTTTTAACTTGCTTCCAAACAACAAATTTATTAAGGGTTTTAAACTTTGTTCTACACACTTAAATAAAGTAATTAGACATCAATGAATGAGAATATTTTGTTATCATCAAAAATATATGGAGTCAACATTCTCCTCCTTTTTTGATAATGATAAAACACTCTTAGATTAAAAGTATAATGTCTGTGTATTCTCTATATATATGTGTAGTTGAGGGATTACTCTCCCTTAATCTATGCTCCCCCTTAATATGTGCATACAAAAAATTTTCAAGATTTCTCAACCAAAATATAACATTAATCATATATATGCAAAGATTTATGAACAATCATCAATAACAAATATAACATGACCAATCTAGCAATTTGTTCAAAAACAAACACATAACATTACATCCTATATTCTCCCCTTTTTTGTTATCATTAAAAAATATATTCAAAACTCTCCTTAATGAGTGTGATACAAGTCAATTTTACGAGCACAAGAACCATAAGCATTTTAAGACAATTATAAGCTACATGTCAAGAAAATTAAGCATTCAAGTATAGTAGTTCTTTACATCAAACACAACAACAAACACAACAATTCTTTGTTCTTTCTCCTATTTTTTGTCATTATCAAAAGAGGGGTTTAGAATAAAACAAATTTAATTCAAATGTTTCACTTTTTTAAAAAAAAATTCTGAAAGTTCCCATAAGGCCCAGCTACCCTGTTAAATTTTATTAATTAAAATAAAAGATACAAAAAGGAGAACAACATAAATCGTACCTTTAAAATTACATAAGCATGAAAAGAAATTAAATAAGCACCTAGAGAAGGGAGTTTCACTTTATATGCATATTTTTGGATGTTACAATAAAGATAAAACCCTTTAGTTTTACAAGATTCTAAGTAATTGAAATAACAATAAGAATAAATTAGGAGAACTACTCTTGTACAATTATTTAAACTGGACATATGGTAAATTTAATCTATCTAGCTTAAGAATACCACGTAATTCACCTCATGCTTCAGTAAATACACAAAGATCTTAATGTGTGTAGCCCTAATTTGACAAGCAATCTTCTGCCTGATTGCTTTCCCGATAAATATATGAAATTCCATAAGAAGTAGTCCGTAAAAACATTTTCTTATATATTCTAATAAATACTGTATATCATAGGATCCTTTCTGACATTGTTGAATCATCTGAATCACCACAAAAGCATCCATCTCTATCCACAAATTATTAATATTACACTCTAGGCATAAAAGCAATCCTTTGAGTAATGCATGTAATTCCGCCTGGAGAGAGTTAGAAGAGCTAAGATTTTTCGAGAAACCAAATATGAGTGCACCTGTATGATCTTGGAGGATCCCTCCACTTGGTGCGTTCTAACTATTTTTGGAACTACCATCCACCCTTAACTTATATTCACCTATAAATGGCTTCACCTAATATACAATTTCAAAAAGTGTATAATGTTTGGCAGGAAATTTAAAACCCCACATAGTGGTTATGTTGTTATCTTTTTTCCACTGCTATTGCTTCAGAAGATTGCCCTCATTTAACTATTTAACAATTTCATAATCCTTCATACAATTCTGTCAAGGTACATACCCAAGTTCTTGTGCTTCGCATCATTTCTTTCCAACCATAAAAAACAATATATAAATAATGAAAGTAAAACATGAATATGACGGAGTTTAGTACAATCACCAGAATAATACCATGCCCATATAATTTGAGAAACATTTTGAGGATTTGAGACATAGATTTAAAAGAATTTTGCAAATAAATTCCAAACCTGTCTCGCCACCGGGCTCTCTTAAAGAACGTGTAGTAAAGACTCCTCAAAATTGCAACATAAACATTTAGAGGCTAATTGAATACTTTTTTTCTTCATCCTAAGATCAACTGGTATCTAATTATTACATACTCTCCATAAGAAAAAAGAAATTGTTAGTGGAATGCTTTTATGCCAAATGAGTGAGCCCATAGTAGTTGAAGGTTGCTGCTGCCTGACTACCTCCCATGCACTCTGATAACTCTATTATATAGAGTTATTTTGACACATTTTGGGAGCTTAAGTAGCTAGATCTTTGAGATTTTATATTCAAATTTTAGCGTTTTAGGTGTTTTTCTAATTTAAGTTTGATTACTTGTTAAGTGATTAAATTAAGTTATTTTAGTTAAATTTTATGTTGTTTTTTTTAAAATTAATTTAAGAGTAGTTATTGCTAATTTCTCTTATGGCTTTTGTAGGAAATTGATGAAAAAGGCTCATTTGATGAAAATCAGTGCAAGTATGGTGATAACTTTATTCATATATGTTTTGGTATTTTGACCATATCTCTCTCTCAAAAACTCCAAATGAGGTGATTCTAAGACAACTAGAATCCTGACAAGAAGGGATACAATGTTTATTTTCATCAATTCACTGATTTCTGACTGGATCATGGCCAAAATGTTTGTCAAAGTCGGAGCACTGCAGCAGTATGCAAGGACTAAATAGGATGCGGTATTTGGAGCATATCTTTCAATCCAGGAGTTCAATTGATGTGATTCTTCATCCATTGGAAAGTTAAGAGACAGTGCGAAAACTTTTATGTTTACCACTTTTCCCAGTTTGGAACATGTCAGGGTGAAACTCATGGTTGAAATTGGTAGACAACCATAGCTTTGGGAGAACAAGGCTGCAGCGTTGATGAAAGAAAGCAGACATACAAATTTCCAAAGGGCTCAATGCTGCAGCGCTGGAGAAGTAGCGTCGCAGCGCTGGGTGACTTTCCAAAAATAAAAGTAGTTGACCAGATTTAAAAATTAGATTATTTAGAGCCTATTTAAGGGACCTTTTTCAGAGATTTTGAGG